TCCTCCGCCGCCACCGCGCGCTGGGCGCAGACACGCGGCGCGAGTGCACGGGGACGCGGAGCCCGCGGCGCGACACGGCCACCCGCGGAGGCGCAGGCACAACGCGGGCACACACAGAAGCACCCGCCCGCGCGCACGGCACTCAGGGCAGGCACACGCTTGTCCAGGAAGCACACAACTCTGTGCACATGGCACAGACCTACAGCTGGCGCAGACACACGGCAGGGAGGTGCAGACACACACAGACTCAGCGTAGACACAGATTCAGGACAACCCAAACGGGGTTCAACACAACATGAAAACACAACACCCTGAACTTGCAGCGCAGACAGCACAGAGACACACCACAAGCATAACACAGATACACAGCGCACACAGCACAGATACAAGTTCACAACACGATATACACGACATGAACACACAAAGAGGCAGTTACAGAGCATAGACACAGACACAAGGAGAGACACACAATGTACACAGGGTGGACCCACAACAGAACATACACATAAGGTAGACAAACAAAAGGCATAGAGCCACAACACAGTAGACACACAAAAGAAACAGTACATACACCAACAACACACAGACACACATTGCCCAGAAACAATACAAAGATACAATCGCAAATACCACATGCACAAACACAACATATAAATAAATAGCACACAGCGAAAGACAACATACAGAGTCACAGGAATGGCAGATTGAGGCAAGGGCATGGCTCTAGTCATATGGGGTCCTTGCCCTGGGGAGAAAGGACAGACATGTCCCCATCCAGACTCACTCTTTGCTGGGGTGGGATGGAGAACACTTGCCAACAACGCCCACATCCCTCTGCCCTCCTCTCACCTGCTACCATCACACTCTGCAGACACCCCTCTGAGCCTGGGGAGTGTGTACCTCATGGGTGTGGCCAGTGGACAGGACCCTCCCATCCCCCAGCCTTCCCTGTTCAAGTTGCCCATCCTTGGCTCTCTGCCTCCAGCCTTAGGGTGTGATCTCTCCAGCTGGCTGGGTCTGCCTTTAGGATGCTCGCTGCAGAGATAACGGAAGGAAGCACTTATCTGTGGGTGTCATAGGCCAGCTCCTCTGATTACTGGTCATGGGACCTTGAGTTATCACTTCAACTCTTAAGCCTCAGTTTCCTCATCTAAATAGAGTTGTTGGGAAAGTTAGAGTTAATACATGCAAAGCCCCTGCAACCAGTGGGTGTGCAGTAAGTGCTTATTGTAGTTTGTCAAGAAATTATGTATTCCCTGAGTGCCCCCTGGGGTGGGACTCGAACTGGGAGCTGTGGGGCCCACCGTCTCATGGGGGAGTCAGGTGTTGGCACAAGCAGCAACAACACACATATATGAATATGAGGGGCCTGGTGAGGTGAACTGGCCAGGGAACGGGAGGAGTCCTGGCTTTGAGTCCAGCTCTGCCTTGGGGCTGGCGTGGGATCTTCGGTGACCTAGTCCCCCTTTAGGCCATGTTTCCTCATCTCCTCAAAGCAGGTACCCTGTCTCACAGGGCCATTGCATAGATGTGGTTAAAATCAGATTATGAATGAGGGTTAAAATAGCATAACAAAGGAGCAGGTGCTTTTGTAAACAAAAAAGGGGTATGCGAAATGGGGAGCTGCTAAAACACTACAAAATGCCACTAGAAAAGTTTGGTGTCACCAGTGATTGTTTAGAGGCCACTCTAATTTTGAATTGAGAAGAGAGGATAAATATCCTGGAAAAGGTGGCATTTAGATAGAATGCAGAAAAGGGAGGTGAGCCTTCCCGGTGGAGGGGTGGGCGTGTGCAGGAGGCTGGAGTTCAGGTGTGTGGAGGAAGCCGTGGAAGGTAAGGTTGGAAGAGAGGGTGGAGCTGAGTGTAATGGGCTAAGCTCGATTGTCAGCCCACGGGCAACAGGGCCACTGAGCAAGGTTACAAGCTGTGCATGTTCTAGAGAGAGCCGTGGGGAATCTAGAGCAGAAAAGTGCCATGATCTGAATTTGCTTCAGGATCTGGCAGTAGCAGGTTAAAGTGTGGACAAATAAGAGAAGGATGAACAACCCAATTTTCTAAAAAATGTGTTAAGGCAATTCACAAAAAAGGAAACCTAAATGGCCCAAAATATGAAAAGATGTTCAACCTCACTGGTCATGTGAGAGATGCAAATGGAAAGAGCCGTGCTACACCATTTCGCACCCACCAGACTGGCGAAGAGTAAGAAGTCTGTCAATATGGGGAGCGGGGGCGGGGTGGTGAGGATGTGGGCCGGTTGGAACCTCATACACCATTGATGGGGATGTAAATTGGTACAATACTTTGGAGAAGAGTTTGGCAACATCTAATCAAGTTGAAGCTGCTCATATCTGCAATTCAATGACTCTGCTCCACTCACTCAGCATAGAATTGTGAAAAATGAGAAATTGGTTAATTGTCCATCGACAGCAGTCCAGGTAGATCAATTGTGATGTATTCATACAATGGAATAACATACTAGGAGTAAAAATAAACTAAGATTATTAGCCTCGACATAGATACAGTTGAGAAAAAAAAATCAAGTTGTAGAATAGGTACAGTGTGATACAAAAAGTTTTTTTTCTAAAACATTCAAAACTATGCTACTGTATATTTTTAGGGATACAATTAGATAGTGGAAGTGTTAAAACATGCATGGGAACTCGAAGACACCAAGTTTAGAATAGTGGTTACCTATGGGAAGGGAGGGATGGGGATGAGAGAGGAAAGAGGTACGGAAGAGCTTTAATTATATCTGTAATGTTTTATTTCTTTGAAAAAAATATCTGAAGCAAATATGGCAAGGTGTCAAGATTTGACAAAGCTGCGTGGCTGGTCCATAGTTGTTCTCTCTGATCCTTCTCCTTCTCAAGTCTAAAACTTTTTCTCTATTTTCTGTATGTTTGAAATATTCAGTAATTTTAAAGATGGGAAGGGCAGGGAGATTATGAGGAGATTGCAGCAGAGAAGGTTGGTAATCATGCCATCTGCCACGTGTGCAGGGCCATCATTGCGCACAGTGTCCCAACGTGTCTGTTTCTGAGACGTGCCGCAGCTTGGTGCACCTGGCATGTCAGGCGACAGGTCCGGTTACAGGGAGAGAACAAGGTTTGGAGAGCTGGAGTGATTTCCCCAAGGTCACACCCAGTGGGGAGTTAGGACAAGTCTCCTTACTCTCAGCTGTGTCTCAGCACAAAGGCCAAAGAACCTCAAGAGGAGGTCTCCTGCCTTCCGTCCTCCTCCATCTGCTGCACTCTTCTTTTTTCTTTCAATTAATGACAACTTGGAAAGTATAGAAAAGCACAAGGAAGACAATAAAAGTCACTTGTGATTTTCACTATTTTACTTTTTAAGTCAGCTTAATTGAGGTCTATATACAAAAGGTCCCTGACTTATTATGTTTCGACTTAACGATTTTTTGGCTTTATGATGGTGCGAAAGCCATATGCATTCATTAGAAACTGTATTTGGAATTTTGAATTATTGATCTTTTCCTGGGCTAGCGGTATGATGCTCATGGTACTGGGCAGCGGCCTTGAGCCGCAGCTCCCAGTCAGCCACTCGATCCTAAGGGTCAACAATGAACACACTTACAACCATTCTGTACCCATCCAACCATTCTGTTTACACTTTCAGTACAGCATTCAAAACATTACGTGAGCTATTCAACACTTTATTATAAAATAGACTTTGTGTTAGATGATTCCGCCCAGCTATAGGCTAATATAAGTGTGCTGAGCACAATTAAGGTAGGTTGGGCTAAGATAGGATGTTCAGTAGGTTAGGTGTATTGAATGCGTTTTGACTTATGATATTTTCACATTATGATGGGTTTATTGGGAGGTAACCCCATCGTAAGTAGAGCAAGATCTGTAATTCACATACAATAAATTCACCTATTTTAAACGTACAGCACTAGCTTATTTTGAGAGAACATAATGTCGTTTGGAAATATTTGTTCGGGTACTAGACAAGTTACCATGTATGAAAGTGCTCTACGAAAAGAAAATGCTTTTTACAATGTGAGTAATTGTTATTGTAATAAAAGTTTGAGAAATAGTTAAGATAAAGGTACTTTATCCCTAAAAGCCGCTGACCAGCTAGGTGGGCCTGTGATTCATTGCCTGAATTTGGGGAGCAGTTCATAATGGCCTCAGCATGGAGGTGCTGAGACTTTTCAAATTGTAGAAGAAAGCATGATTTCTAACACCATTAAAAAAAAAAAAAAACCAAAAACTAGTTGACAGGGTCAGACCGTGACCTATTAAAATGCTTGTGGCCTTGGTTAGCTGCCAAGCCATAAACACCTTTACCTGTGGCTTTTGTGGGGAAATGAGAGAAGTCAAGTGTCTGGCCTCTCTGTGACCCCAGGAGAGCCTTCACGAGATGCTGTGGGAGATCCCTTCAGCCCTCCTTGATCCCCAAGCTTGCTGTGGACCCATGGGTTGGGTCCCTTCTCTTCTCTGAAATGTAGTCTCCTCATCTGTTAAAAGTAAACTGGCGCTTTGTCCATGCCTTCAACATTCCGCAGCCATTTAGGGAAATGTGCTGTGGCAGCCTCTGTGCTAGGAATGAGAGTGGGGGCAGAGGGAGATGTGCCGTAAAGAGGAATAAGACACAGCCTCTGGCCTCAAGAAGCTCCCAGTCTAGAGCTGGTCGGGTTGG